CTTTTTTTTCACTTGTGCCTTTCAGGTAAACTGCAGCCACTGACTGACAAGTACAAAACCGACCCGGGAAACTTGGGCAAAAGCCTCGATCCTGTGTATCAATCCGTGAAACCGTGATAACGACTAACAATTTGTTTTCGAATATTGCGTTGCGTGACATGGTGATTTCAGTCATTTTCGAGCCTTATATAAGAGTTACACATGATGAGTTTGAAGAGTACTGCTCTACAGAAATTTGTCTGCAGTATAAGTACATCTGGTAATCTAGACGAGAATTACGGTTCAGGAGTGCCTTTCTTTACACTGCAGGTACCTACGATAACTGATAAAAGTTCTGCTTACCGGAATGGTTTTTCTTGGCTTTTGCCCGCGAACGGCGAGCTTCCCATCTACTCTCTATTAGTGCCCTAAGTTCGTCCTGGTACAGTGTTGTTTAAATTGTCTTCAGTCAGAGGGCGCCCACAGCTATGAAGTCGGGCGACAAACTGAAGACGTTCAACATAGGATGTAATAAACCAGGGAAGAATATATTAAAGAAGTTGGAGGATCATCACAAGAAAAAAGTAGCCGGGTTATGTTTTTCACTAGTCTTCAGGAAGAAGAGGAGCAAACGCAAAAGGTGTTCCAAGATTTCGTCGCAACTTTCGAGGGAGATTCAAAGCAGCGAACATGGGTCAAAGGAGGAGTGGTTAATCCGGGTTCAGATGGTATGATAATTTCGGTTTAATCAACCCCATTCAGGAGGTTCCTCGGGTTCGTCTTCAGAAAATCGCATATATAAACCCGTCTCGAAAATAAGTGAGAAGCAGTTGAATACTGATGGTACCAAACCCGAATCAAAGCCCAATTTACCTGAGAAACCGGTATGTACTTGCAACTGGGGCTTATTCGTTTTCAGCCGTCTCTTGGGAAACGTCGTGGAAAGGAGCAGAAGAAGTCTAAGTTGGAGCAATTTAAAGAGGAGTTAAAGCTGTAGGTTAAAAGTTTTTCTCTATTTGCTGGCCAGAATTCAGCAACAGCGTGAACAGCGACATGCTTTGAGGCAGGGTAAGAATGTGTCACCCTCAGCTGCGTCCACCATTCATTCTGAGTTGGACCTTTCTGATGTGGGATCGCGGAACCGCGAGTACAGAAACCCCCCACTGGGCTTTACGCAACAAAGCTCGGGGGTTGGCTTGTTGGGCGACTCTGGGAGTCCGTCAAACATTTATGGCCGTCGAGGGCAGAGAGATAGACGAGATGGTAATGTTTGGCATTGTTTACTTTGATTTCTGTAGATTACCCGTATGATTTTGATGGGGATCGCACAACAACGAACCTTTTTCTGGGAAATCTCAATCCAAAGGTAGTAATATTCTCTTTGTTGACGTTCCCACAGATGACGGAGCAGCAACTTTGCGAGGCGTTTGGTCGTTATGGTCCTCTGGCAAGTGTTAAGATCATGTGGCCGCGAACGGATGAAGAGCGATCCAGAGGAAGAAATTGTGGTTTTGTGGCCTTCATGAATAGGAAGGATGGTGAACGTGCACTGGATAATATTCGGGGTAAGATCTTCAGCGGATTTTTGAACAGGAACTATCTCCATGTACTTCAATACTGTTTTCATATATCTTAACGTCATCCGACAGGTTGCATGAAGTTTGTAAGGGGTTGTTGAGATTCTTCTAATGGCTGCTCAAGCGCTACTCACTACCTGCAGTTGTGGTGCCTTTATTATGGATTCCAGACTTTAGAAGTATATTGCTGCTGCCGTAACATTTCTAAATGAAGGCGAAAATTCCGAGGTGAAGCGGTGGAATTTCCGTTCTGGTGTTCACTCCATGTTCATGCAGCATACCCAAAACTCATGATTTATTGCATTCGATATCCTCAATGTTCTGGAGGCCTGCCCCATCTTTGTGTGAACTCTCGCAATCAGTGCTGAAAGACGAACTTCGACCGACATCTTCGGGCTAAGCTTTATCCGTCCATCTCACGGGACCGTCGAACAAGGCTACGTGGCTTGCGTCAGACCTCGGGCCTGATTCAAGAGGACGGTTTTCGGATGTTCAGTTCGCTGGCCGTAACTTTCCTCAGGAAGTAGCAGAGTGACCTCCAGGTTTCTTCCGCGATGCACATAGATGTCTCATAACTAGAATGCTTTTAAAAGATGGAAACAAGAATGACAGGAAACTCAGGCAGGGGTCTACAAGCCTTTCATTGAGAGGATCGTTTCAGCAGCATATCATCAAAGGCAGGCCCTAGAGGAACTCGAATTAGCTGGGGATTTTCGACAAGGTGCTGCTCACCACCGAAGTTGATGTTCCAATTCAGAGGGTGTACGGCCTGAAGCTTTGTCATCGATCCACAGAGGATTCCAAACAGTGACTCGCTCTTCTACTGTGAGTAACCTCAACTGTTATTCGGGCCACCTAATTTATCCTCGGAAGCACATCAGTGTTCAACACTGATGTTTTACAGCTGTACAACCTTATTTATTTGGATGCCTTGTGAATAAGTTGGACGGTAAAGAGACTATTAGTTTACTACAGTCATTTCAAGGTGCATGTACCTACACATACTCTTTCAAGCAATCTGGATAGGAACTGAAAACAAGAACACCATTAACATCGATTAGCGGGCATTTTGCGGCGTCTCCAGCCAGGGGCAACGAGGATCACGCAGTCTCCATCTGGGATGGGAAGTAGCACCGACAGCACCCAGACTTAGCTTTTTAACAGCCCTCAAAGGGACATGCGTCACTCTGAATTGGGCACGGAAAACAACAGTCTCACCGGCAGTTGATGGTTCTGCTTGGTCACTACACGGCCTAACTGTCGCCGCTTCTGGTGATGGACATTCTTCAATGGAAGTCCCCTTTGCATAACCGAACACTCGCTTGCTAACGACCCCATTACGGATTAGCGGATACGAACCTTCACCTGCAGACGTCCCACGTCCACTGCTCGAACGGCCAATCTCAGCCATAGAACAAATAACCCGCACTGCAGCCTGATACACAATGCCTCAGATTCAGAGATAGAGCTTTGACGCCACAGATATCTCAAATTAGGAAGCTCGACCCGAGCCCTCCAGATTAGTGCATTGACTGCATCTGTGCTACTTCAATTTGAGCCAATACAACTTCCGAAGCACGTGAAACGTTCCACAACTTCACCTGGATCATAATTGGCATGTTCGGTGATAGTATGTTCAGAAGCACGACCTTACACTGTACGGGTGCAATGTGAATGCCGAAAGACGGGATGGCTGGCCAGTTTATCCCAAAATACCTGCCTCTTTTCCTCCTTTTGAAAGACGAGAACAATGAAGTCTGTATATTCCAGATCGACAGAACTTTCACCGGAGGCCATCTACACACCAAGGGTTCAAAAACCTTTCAGAGCTTGTCTCATTGTTTTACTGATCACGAAGTTCAACAGGTATAGAGCTACTGGGCACCGTTTTGTGTGCGGAAGCTTTTGGAGAGCTCTCCGGCTACTCTTACACGCCTAACCGTTTGAGAATACAAAAAGTTTGTCCACAAAGTTCCAGAGGATGTCAGGGATTGCATTCCGGTCAGCGGCGTCGAATGTGTAATGAAAATCCAAGAGTACTAAAATCGTGGGACGTTTATGACGTTCTAGTGCCTGACGGAGTGAAGGTTTGGTCACACGATTCTCTTTCGATCTGAAATGCTGCCTATGCTCTCGCGTCATTTTTTTCACGAGTCATTATACGGCGACAAAGAACAATGACGCTAACACTCGTTACAATCGGTGTCAATCTGATCCTCCTCTAATTATCCTACACACTACGCGCAGCTTCTCTCAGAATGGACACTAACATCGATTCCCCCGTAGACGTCTAGGATAGTGTCCCTTTATCGAATACAGATAAATAGGTCAGATAAGCACTGACTAAGGGCTTCAACCCATCGTTGATTAATGCTAATGGAAGTTCTTGAGATCCAGGACCTTGGTGGCGCTTGAAAGAATATATGTAGCCATGTTCTGCCCAGGCCCTGCCTAGGCTTGGGCAACCTGGCAGTATCCCAGCCCTCGTGCTTCTTTCGAGTTGCATGGCAATTAGGTACAGAAAGGATGCTACAGCTGGACTATTCAGCCACATACCCAAGTAGGTCGTTTGAGCTCTTTGGAATTACATTTGGGTGGTCTATTCGGAGTCGATGCTCGCCGCACAGACAACGGAGATCGACTCTTTCAGTTGTGTACTGATCACGAACTGTTTCTAGCAAGAATGAACTTTGAACATAAACGTTCGCATCTCGTAAGCTGGTGGCCGCCAACTACAAATCAGCGGTGGACCCAGTTGGACCACGTGGCCATCAGCCACCTTTGGGGAGCCACAACTCAGGACTGCCGTTCCTTCTGGGGTGTACCAATGGATTCCGATCACGCCATGGTGCGCGCACGCTTGACAGTTCGTTTCCCCTCAGGCCCTCGCAAGTCAGCAAGAAGCATGCCAATCCACCAGCTTCGAAGAACTGCCGTAGCTCAACAGTATCGGTCTGAGCTAGCCCAGCAATTCTCCACAGTAGAACAATACTGTGGAGGCAGTGAGCATGTGGATGAAGCGTGGGAAAATGTGAAAGGAGCTATACTAGCGGCGTTCAGTGCTACCTGCCCGACTTCTCCCATTCGACCACAAGACCACGATGTCGTCGAGGTCGTTATCCGTGAATGGTGCCAGGAAAGCCATACCAGCAGGCAACGGGTACGACAGCGCACGCAAATCCCTCAAACGCCAAAAAGGGAAGAGTCTAAGGAAAGACTGAGGATAGCTCTGGTGGACATCGAAAGCTCGGGAGATGGAGAAGGCCTTTGCTACGGGAAACAGCCGTGCCCCATGTCAACTGATATGGTCGACTGGCCCTAAGAAAGCAACGGTCAGCGAAACGATAAGTGAAAAAGACGGCTCAATAATTCACTCGCAAAAACATCAACTGGAGAGATGGGCCGAACACTGAAGAGCAATTCAGCCGGACTCCTGCAACACAGCTGGTGGAGATAATGCATATGGGCGAATGGAATGTAAACCTTGATCGTCCTTCGGAAAGAGAAATAAGGTACGAAATAGCCGTACTGAAACGTGAGGAGGCACCAGGACCGGACGGTCTATATCCAGCCCTCTTCAAAGAAGGCGGAAAATCCCTAGTGACCCACCTGACAGCTTATTGGTACTATGTGGGACGAAGAGCAAGTGCCTGCAGAATGGGCATGTCGACAGTTATCCCTATCTTCAAAACGGGTACGTGGACGCTATATGAAAACCACCGTGGCATCAGCCCGTTAGCTGTGGCATCGAAGGTGCTCTCTGGCCTTATCCTTCGAAGGTTGACTGAACACAGGGAGAGGCAGATCCAAACTGGGTTCCATCTTGCAAGAGGTGGTATCGATCATATCTTCACCCTTCGACAGATTCTGGAACAGCGACACTGCTTCCAGCAACCAACAATGGTTGTTTTTCTCGATCTGAGAGCTGACTTTGACTCTGTAGACCGTCAGGCACTATGGCAGTGTCTGTGAAGCAAAGGTATCCCCCCATAAATTCTTGATCCTCCTTAAGGCGCTGTAAGTCAACTCCGGCGGCCGTGTGAAGGAAGCTTTCTCCTGAGTTCACCACAGCTGGTGGTGTCCGACAGGACTGTCCTCTTTCACCTTTCTTCAATTTCCTCATTGATGCAATCATGGAAGACACACTACCAGCCTCTAATGCCTGTGGGGCCGAAGTGCTCCCTGGGCCTCCGCTCACGGACAGCGAGTACGCAGACGACATAGCTCCCGTTGTAATGCAAACAATATTAAATAATCTAAATAATTCTGCCTCGCGGTTCGGCATGCGCTTCACACCTGCAAAGTGTAAGACTGGGTGGGCTCGAACCCTAGCCTCGTGCTTGCGGAGGAACCGACTGAGGTAGTAGACAAATTTGTTTACCTGGGCAACTGTACCAGTCCCGGTGGTTTGGCGAAAGATGATATTTCCATCCGGATTGGGAAGGCCAGAGCAGCTTTTGCGAAACTACGTCACCTGTGGTGTAGGCGTGACCGCAGCTTCTCTGTCAAGGGTCGAGTTTACAATGCTGTGGTGCGCTCCATATTACTATATGGATTAGAAACCTGGCCGCTGCGCGCTGAGGACGTCAAAGGGCTTTCAGTGTTTGACCAGCGGTGTCTTCGGAGCATTGCCCGAGTCCGGGAACACCGGATCAGTAATACTGAAGTAGGTTGAATTGTTTTCGGAAGAAATAACTCGTCCACGGTGGATAAGCTAATCACACTGCATACGTTGCGCTGGCTTGGTTACGTGTACGGCAGTGAAACATCAGTGTTGAACACTGATGTCATGCT